ACATTCTATTTCAATGTTCAATTACCAATTCCGTTTTCTCTGTAAAGTATTTTCATGTTAATTATTAGGTTTTTTTTGGTTTAGTGTAAGTTTAATCGTTTCAGTAAATACGCCTTTAACAGCCGCCGAAAGGCAGAGTAGATATAAAGAAAAACTCGAACTGAATTCTGAAAAGTACGAAGAATATAAAAGAAAAAAGCATGTGAATTATCATACAAAAAAAGAGACTTACCACCACAAGAGAAATATAATGCATTAACAACTTGGAAACTTAGGAAGAAAAACTTAAGACAAAACAGGAATAATTTAAATCACCTTCTTGATGATATAACACCTCTAAGTTCTTCTTCTATATTGATACCTGAAGCAGATGCTATGGTAGCCCATGATGCTTTTCAAAATTCACCGCATCGAAACAATGACGAGACGGATATAATATCTGGTATTAATAGTCCGCAAAATATGCTTCCACATAAAAATGTATCAAGGAAGAGTAAATGACTACAGAAAATTAGGAGAGATCGATCAAAATTATATAGGGAAAATTTAAAGTTGCGGAAAGAAAATGAAAAACTACAACAAAAATACGAAAAATAAGAAAAAAATGTTGCCAAAGAAACAAACATGAAACAAAAGCAAATGACAATGCTGATGAAATGACAAAGTACAAAAAGCTATCCGGTGTTTTCAAAGAAAGGTACCAAAAAACAAAGTAACACAAAGATAAGAAAATACTGAAAGACATATTTGAAAGTGTTGATGACTGTGCAAAAAAAGTAATAGTTAAAGAATCTCTGGGAATAACCGGACAAATAAGGACTTGAAAGTCAAAGCTAATGCTTATTTTAACTATTTAATCAACCCGATTGATAGAATTATGCCAAGCTCACAACAAGAATTGCTTTCAACTGGTTTATAAAACACCTGAAACTTCTGATGATGAGCCAGTGATGACATCTCTAAAACCAAAAAGTTCAACAGCACAACTTTGTAACAAAAAAGAGAACCAAGAGGTGAGATAGATGGACTTTTAAGTAAGATTTTTAAATATGCTTGTGTAGTCGATGATTTGCACGAAGATTCAAATTTCACAAAACACATTTCCTCTCGAAAAGAGTGACGTAGCTGACATAGACTACACTGACATAATATAAATTCTAGCTGAGCATAAAACGACTACCAAAAGAGCCCACAGTATTACATATTTGAATATAATGTATTTTTCTTTTAATTTTGGTTGGTATATCGTTATGTCTCTTGAGTCACTAAGTTTGTCTCCTGGATAACAACAATGTCCCCTAATTTTATAATGAATCTCTCGACATTGAAATAGAACAAAATATAATGATTTCTTAAATTTACGCGAACACTACACATTGAATAAAACTATTATTTACGGATTTTATCGCGTTTAATATCTTTAATTTATTTTTATTATTATCACTTTCACAATTTTACCATCTGACAAAGTAACTGCATTTTTAGACCACCTTAACTCCATAAACTCTAAAATACAATTCACAATGGAGTTAGAGGCAAATAATTCTTTAGCTTTCCTAGATGTTTTAGTCATCCGAAATCCTGATAACACTATTGGTCACACTGTGTATAGGAAAAAGACCCATACCAACCGATATCTAAATGGTGAATCTCACCATCATCCTTCACAGTTAGCTACCGTGGGTAAATCTTTGTTTCAGAGAGCACGAGGGATCTGTGACAGAAAACATCTGGCCGCGGAGCTTCAGCACGTCAAGCAAGTATTGCAAGACAACAAGCTTCGGGTCCCGCGCCTACGTCACAGTGAACGAGTGAAGCCGGCAACAGTCGAGCGCGCACCTGCTCTACTACCATATGTTGGAGGAGTCACGGACAAGATTGGCTACATCTTGAAGCGAGCGTCCATTAAGACATACTACAAGCCGCTGAAGAAGATTAGTCAATTTTTACCATCCATCAAATGTAATATTCCTCTACAAGATGCAGGTGTGTACAAGCTAGATTGTGAATGTGGTCTCTCTTACATAGGTCAAACAAAGAGATCTATAAAAACCCGCGTGAAGGAACATATAGCTGATGTGAAGCACCGACGCTCCGGGAAGTCTGCAGTCTGCGAACATGTTCAAGATCGTCCCCACCATTACATTAGATTTGATAAACCACAAATTCTCGCAAAAGAACACCGATTCCTACCAAGGATGATACGCGAGGCTATTGAAATTAAAAAACATCCAAATTTCAATAGAGAAGATGGTTGGGTGCTACCATCTGCTTGGGATCCTATAATCAACAAAATTAAACCCAAACCCAAGCATACCACTGCAAGACTTCATGATACTATAAGCTCGTTTTGCGTAAATCGGACCAAAAATTAATATTAAAAAACTGAAGGTAGCCGGACTAACTATGACATTGGGACGTCAAACATCTCAGTCCCCCCCGTGACCATGGGCGCTGTAAAGCACCCGAAACGTCGGGATAATAATAAAAATAAATTAAAGTAATTAAACGCGATAAAATCCGTAAATAATAGTTTTATTCAATAGAACAAAATATCTTAGGTATATTTTATTTTTATATAATGGTTGATGAATAAGTGGCGGTAAGTATAGTATTAGTTTGGCTTACATGTGTTATTTAAAAAAAAGTTATAGTTAAAGTTTGTATTGATTTATTTTACCAGTGACCCAAGAGAAACAAGGCACGTCATTATTTTTAGAATAAGACTGATTTGTTTAGTTTCAAAGACCTATAATAATTCCTTTAAACTTTAATAAAAAATAAATATACTGATTAATCTTTTCTGTTTTGTTTTACTTACGATATATTGTATAATATGTCCGTTACCCAAGAGACATTTAAAGTTGTCAGTTCTGACATTCTTGGTTAAAAACCCTAATAGCATTTAAAAAAGTTCGATGCTCTACATAAAATATTAAAACTAGATGGTTAAGTTATCTATATTTAAAGTTAAATAACTAAAAACACTAAGTTTATTTTTTAACACAAAAAGTTGATTAATTACAGAAAATAGTTGATTCACCTACATACTGAGTTTAATCATGTATTTCACAATTCTCAATTATAAATCAAAATTGTAAGTCTGATGTTCGTTCTGCTAGTGACCTGTCTCCCTTTACTTTAAAGACTAAACCGACATAACCTCTTGTCTGTCCAAAACCTTCTAAAGGTCACTATTAAAAAAGTACACGTCTGTCCACAACCTTTAGAAGGTTGCAATTTACTTATAAACTTCAGAAACAAAACAGCCGCAGTAAATGTATCTGTATCTCCCTCTAACTCGTACAACATTGTTTTAATATCATTAACCTACTTATCTCGGTATGGAATTGTCGCTATTGAAGTACAAAATGTGCCCTTTTTTGTGCCTGTTTCGGGTCATCTTAAGTGGCCCACATTATTGTCGAGCTTTTGGTGTAAAAAATGTATGCAGAGTTGTGTTTTTTTATTAACTATTGTAAAGTGTATTTATCTTATTGTAAATAAAATAAATATTTATTGAAATTATTTGTGTTTTTTTTTACATTTTTATTTACCAAACAGGAAAAAAATCACTTTTAGCATTTTTACCATGGAGTTTAGAAAATATAAAAAGGTGAATGTACACATTTACACATATTCTATTAACTTACTTAACAATAATTCTAACAACATATTATTTTATAGTTTCCATTCATAATTATTAAGATGTTGCCATTTTAATGACACGCGCCGCGTAGGCACTAAATCACTCGTTTAGGGTTGGACAGTATGCGCCAAAGCGACTATTTGAGCGGGGACAGTTAAGAGAATAACAAAAACCAACCTGTAAGCTTCGTGTACATGTTGAGGAGCGACATGACCACTACAGTGCATCTTGGCCATGGCCTCGGCCAGTCGTATCATGGACTCTAACTGGCGAACGGTGATACGCCATGTTCCTCCCCCATTGGCCCCTCCTCCATCACGAGTTCGAAGAGTCGTGTAATAGTCCACTAGTAGCTTGCCTGCTTCCTGCAAATAAATATCATGTTACTTTTTCTGCACTATTTTGGTGAGTTAAAGAATGATTGCTAGTAAAAATTAAAAAGATTAGAAGTATTATTCTATAAGGTCAATCGGGGCTAAGGTGTCTTAGGGGTTAAGGCGTCACATTCAAATATCATATGAAATACGAATTTAAGAACTACTCACGCCATCTTTTAAACATATTTAGCACCAGACTAAAATATTTATATATTATATTTAAAATATACTATATTAGTAGATGTCGATACTGGCCTCATTTTTGTTTAAATTTTCGCCATCTTGAATATGTCACTTCACTTCGAAGCTCGCGTTAGTGATATGTGGTTATTAAATCCCCTTAAATTTCAGTGTTTTCTAGACTATCGGTGTTTTTTGCCTGTAAGTACCTTTCATTCTGAAATGTTTTACGGTTTGTTTTAATTATTTTTAGTAAAGGCCTAAAGATTAATTGTCCATGTGCAGTTAAAATATTTTAGGTTGTGTTTATTTATCGGGGCTATCGCGTCTGCCTTATTGGGGTGATTGCATCTATTGTAACGCAATAGCCCCATTGTATGAGGTCCTAAACCTTTTTATTTTAAGATAACAATAATGCAATAATTGATCTAAATACATATACACTAAAATCATTTTTTTTTAAATATAGTTATACCCTACTTATATATGGATGGATGAATATATGCATGTTTGTTACTCTTTCACGCCTAAACGAAAGAACAGATTTTGATGAAATTTGGTATGGAGATAGATTAGACCCTGGATTAATAAATACATAATAGGCTTTTAACAGACTTTGGAAGAAGTAGGTGGTTTCTCGCGAGTGAAACGGAATTACTTTAAATATTACAAACAAAATATATTGTTTGTAATATTTGAAGTTTTTTTTTTTGGGTAATTTCACTGTTTATTTGACACATTTTTCTAGATGGTCTTTGTAATTAAACCTAAATTTTTCTTTTAGATTTTTTAAAATGGTTCGTTCATATAAAAGAAAAACAACACCAACTTACGATCTTGAAACCTTAAGGAAAGCAGTAGATGAAGTCAAAGCTGGCAAAATAAATTCGTACCAAGCTGCAAAAAAGTATAACATTCCTTGTATGACTATATGTGATAAAGTGAATAACAAAAAAGGTATCGTAAAGGAGAGCCGAGGACCACCTACAGTGATTGACAGAGAAAATGAGCTCAAACTTGCAAATGGTTTACGGGTTATGGAAAAATATGGGTTCGGACTCACTTCCAAAGAAACTCTAGATTTAGTTGCCGTACACGTGAGTGAAAATAACTACAAAACTCCATTCAAAAACAACAGACCCGGTTATGATTGGTTTGCTGCCTTCAAGAAGAGGCACAAATTGTCCTTAAAAAGACCTCAGGCAGTGGAAATGTCAAGAAAAGTGGCATGTGACCCTTTTATTGTTAATGAGTATTTTGATAATCTTGATGGAGTTTTGAGTGAACTTAATTTAAAAGGAAGACCTGATAAAATTTGGAACCTTGACGAGTCAAGTTTTGGAAAAGATCCCGAACGAACAAAAGTGGTTGGAGCCCGTGGATGTGCCAGTACACGCACAATCGCGTCATCTGGAAAAGATAATGTCACAATTTTGTTCACAGTCAACGCAATCGGTGACAAATTACCACCGTTGATTATACACAGAGGAAAAAATACGTAGGACCAATGGCTGTCAGATAAAGGATTTGAAAACACATCCTATGCTGCCACTAAAAATGGATGGATCGATGCAAAAGTATTTGAAAAGTACATGTTGAACACAGTGCTACCGCGTTTAAGTGAAGATCCACCCGCTTTATTAATATTTGATGGCCATTCTACCCATATCCAACTTAAAATTTTAGAAGAAGCACAAAAACGAGGCGTTAATATTATAAAATTACCATCACATGCAAGCCATCTTCTGCAGCCATTAGATTTATCAGTTTTTAAATCAATGAAAAAACACTTGGGATGCAAAACTTGTGCATTGGCAACGGTTAAATGTGGGCACTAAATTGCCAAAAAGATGAGTTTAGTCGCCATCTTGGAGAAGTGTGGCGTGAATTAGACACAAAAATAATTAGAAATGGCTTTAAAAAAGGGGGGCATATATCCATTTGACAGAAACATAGTTGCAGACGAAAAATTTGATCCAGAATCATTGAAAAGGTTCAGGGAAAATAAAACGATACCAAAACAGATTCAGACATTAAAAAAGTTAAGTTTGGCGGCCGTTAGCCACGAGTTGAGCATTAGCAAAAATCCCATAGCAGCGTCATCAAAATTAGTTTTGCCAAACCAGGAGATGAAATTTGATAAGTCTAATGATTCAAAGGTAATTAAAATTATTGAAGATAGAATTTTAGCTCCCTCGGAAAGAGTTTCTTTCGAAACTTTATTATTGCAGACAATAAAGAAAAGTGACTCGACAATAAAATTGAAAAAAACTAAAATTGCTAGGGGGTGTGAAATAATAACGCGAGAATAGTTTATAGAAAGAAAAAAAACGAAACGAAGAAAAAATAAAGCAAGAAAAGGAAAGAACTGCCATAAAAATCCCCAAAACAAAAAAATATTAAAAAAAGAATTGGACCAAAATCGAAAAAGAAATTGTATAAAATTACAACAAGATGAGACTGAAGAAAGCAAAGATATTAAAAAAAAACCTTGTAGTAAGAGCTTATCTAAGCAAAAACCTAATAAAAATGTTAAAAAGAAAGCTAAGAAACAAAAGAAGTGTTTTGATTATGACGAAGAATCTGAAAGTGAATTAGATATTAGTTTTGCTGAAGTTTCCAGTTCTGCTGAACTTTCTGATGACGATTTTGATACCTATCGTGAAAACTTTTTAGCGGAAATAAAAAGTGATGATAACTTTCTCGAAGATTTGTTGCAAGCCACAACAGAAGAAAAAGAAAATGACAAATCTTACGTAAATAATGATGTTACGTAAATAAAGACACTACAAATATTGAACAATTTGAACCGAATTTAAACAAAAAGAACCTAGAAGTTAGTGATTGGATACTAGTAAGATTCACAACAAAAAACGTCTGTGAAGTATTTTGTGGGGACCATCATTTCTATTAATGACAATAACATTCCTAACGTCAAATTTTTAAGAAAAAAAAAAATAGTAAATTTGTTTCCTTTCATTATCCAGACGTGGAGGATATATCAGAAGTAAAGAATGATGATGATATCATAATGTTCCTTGAAAAGCCTGATATATCTCGAAGAGGGCATATTACTTTCAAAGAAAATTTTAAAATGTATAACATTCAGTGATTGTCAAATTAATTTAGTAATTAAGAAGACCTGAGTGAGAATGACAATATCTATAAAATTGCATGTGATCTCATTACCTGATTATTGTGATAACAATGATAATGAAACTAATATTAATTAATAATAATGTTTGTTAAGGTACTTCACACCTAGCGAATGTTACACAATTAAAGTCAAATTTTTACATACAACATTCAACATACAATAGGTATATAAGATTACACTATTAAAAAAAACTGATTATTAAGAATTTAGTAATGATGACAGTATTAACTAAATAAAACATCTCATACTTTTTTGTATTCGCTTTTTTATTTTCTATTAGAACTCGTATTTTTATTATACACTATTTACCTAATTTCAATGTGTTTGATTTTTTTTCTATTTATAAATGCTAGGTGTATAAAAGTGGAACATGTTTGCAAATTATGTCAATGGCAACTTTTTTTTCTCACAAGTAATGAGAAAAAAATCGTTTGATACCCCTGGAATTTAGGATGGGGCGAATGCGTCTACCACTTAAAGTATAAAATAGACGCCATAGCCCCAAATTTTTTTGTTCGACTTAATAGGAGATACCAAGCCAAGAATATCGCTTATAAGATGATAACTAGCTATATCATGAGCGATCTAATATATTTTTTCGATTAATTGTGTTACAAAGGCTTCCTATTATGTGGTACTTGCTAAAGACGCCTTTGCCCCACCTGTGGCTTTTGCGTCTAAAAATCTCAACATGTAAAGAATGGGTGTTTTCAAGCAAAAATATCACGAAATAATATTTAAATATAAAATTTTATTAAATAATGTGTTATATGTTTTAATTCAGATTGTTTTAAATTATACAACTAAATTAATATGATCAGTTAAAAATGCCGCTTAAAGTATCGTGACGCATTAGCCCCGGTTGACCTTAGTCTATTAATTTAAAAATATTAAACAATCAAAGACTGGTAAAATGTAAATACTTAATAATATAAAATAAACTGAATAACATAAAATACCTCAGTGATAATAGGCTTGAAAGATCTTGCAAAAGCAATGTACCTCAGCAGATCATCCCTCGTATAAACACAATCATATGTTTCTTCTTTGTTACAATGCAAGTCCACTATCTTCCTGGCTATAGCGTAATCAACCATCTCACTGCTTTCATCAATGAGTATGAAGAATAGATCAAAACGCGACATAATCGGTGCACTTAAAGACACGTTTTGTTGTAAAGATTTAGCACGATCGTAACGCCCACCTATAGGGTTAGCAGCAGCTAGTATCGATGTCCGAGCGTTAAGTGTTGCCCTAACTCCCGCCTGAAACATTTTTTTAATTATTAGTTGAATGAATTTTTAAGTTGCAAATTTAATAAATATTATATTAGTGAAATATTATAATATCATAATATATAACCCAAGAATAATAGCAATTTTAATATAATCTAACTTTAATCTTAATTTATTATAATAGTAAATATTCCAATAAGAAAAAAGTGGGCTATCAAATTGCTGTCTTCCACAATAGAAAACAATCCTCATAAACTGTGATAATTAATTATATTATATATTAATAAATTAATTAATATTGGTATATATATATACCAAATAAACAATTTAAACATATGAAAGAACATAAAAATATTTTGCCAAAAATTCAGAAAATTTTTAAAATCTGGCAACACCATCGTCAGTCACAATACCTTTCAACGTGTGCATGTTGCAATATTGTTACCCGACTGCCGCATTATTTATTGCCATGAAAGTTGTATGAGAAACATTGTGGGCAGAGTTCACAGTAGACTGTCACAATTTTGTTATTCAAATGGAAACTTCTCTCCCTTCTCAGCTTTGGTGGAAGTCCGCTATTGCTTAGTGTCCAAGCAACAAAGAATCATATCACTATAACTAAAAGCACACTCACAGATCGGACATCTGTTATCAAGTGACTGAAAGTATCACATTAGCCTAACATTGCTTTGTATACGATTATCATTTCACTATTTTATTTGCAAGTTCATTATTATTTTACCTTAGCAATTGATATAGTCTGCTGCTCCATGGCCTCGTGAATAGCGACTTGATCGTGAAGGTCCATCTTGTCGAACTCGTCTATACAGCACACGCCATTGTCAGCCAACATCAACGCACCAGCTTCAATTACAAAGTCGAATGACTCCTCATCCTTAACAGCATACAAACACATTTTGTGTTTAAAGTGACTTTTTAATAGTGATCAATTACATCAATAAATGAATGATGTATAATTTATAACATAATTAATCTATAGTAAATCTATAATTATAATCAACGGATTATCGATCCATCCGCTGCCTCCGTTCATGGGTTTGAATAATTAAGTCAGTCAGGTATAACTTTAACATTGGCAGTAGCAGTAGACAACTCTTGTTTCTGTATTGCTGACTTTAAATCCGAATCTGCTTCCAATCTTATCTATTAAACTAAGGCCTCCGTGTAGACCACCATGCATCATTACACCACACCCCTCCCCCTATGTAATCCTCTCAAAAGAACACAGACTCCTAACAAGGATGGTTAGAAAGGCTATTCAAGCACAAATATTAAAATTCAAATAAAGAAAAGGGCCAAGTAGTGCCATCTTCTTATGATGTATAATTTATAAAATTAAATCAAACCTAAGCCTATCATTTGCAAGACTTTAAAGACTGTAAGCTCCTTCTGCAAAGGTTGGATCAAAAATTAAAATTCAAAAGATAAAGTTAATGAAGTTAAGAGGGTTAAGAGGGAGTTTTCAAAAACTTCATGTTTTAGGGTTTTTTCAAGGGTGATATCGTAACGAAGTGAGCGAACTATTTACAGAAAATTACGGATTTAGAAAGATAAAGTCTTTATTTAGTACATTGCAACGGAAAATCATAGTTTTTAATGACGGTTTTTTAGACCGAAGACAATCACTACATAATGTTTTACGAAAATATGCGTCAGAATTATCTTTCAGGTGGAATACAACCATGATTATAAGCTAACATACTTTATTTTAAACATTATTATAATGGAATATATTAGTCTTTTAGTGTATAGCAAAGCTTAAATTACGAAAATATTTCGATTTAACATTAAAAAACAATACTATAAAATCACCAAAACTGTCCACTTCAATGTCATTTTTTCCGTTTATTGGGATATAAACTTATCTATTTTAATTATTTTATCAAAATACAGGTAATGTTAAATATCCAAAAAAATTTTTATTTAGTCAATTATTTTATGTGATTGTTTTAAAAATACTATAAATCATCACGCGCAAACGCCGTCCGATTCAGTACACCAAAGAGTATAATAAGTATATACAGGAAAAGAGAGCCCTCTGTCGAAATTTTACTGCAGACAAAATTGAACTACTAGCCGCCTCCTACAA